TGGAATCGATCGAATGAATCCTGCATCTGCACGACAGTGGTGACTGAAACACACCGCTCGCCGCTAGCCTTCAAAGACCGTTAAGAGAATGTTTCACCTGGTGGTGTGCTGCAAAAATCCTTAGTAAAACAATGGTTCTTTGAGGTTCTTTGTGGTAAAGACCATTGAAGCGTATGGAATATTTACCAACATTGAAAACTGAATCCACCGGCATGAGATTCCCATTCTGTTTGCCAAGCCGCATCCAGCACACCCATATTGAACATTGGAGAACAATATCCACTCAATGATCCTCCTCCTCCATCCACTCCAATCATGGAATGTTGATGGCCTCTTGAAAGCCTACTGTCCTTGACAAGCAGCCTTCCAGGGTTGATTTACAAGGTTCCTACAGGAATCCCCGGTGAGTGTTGGGTGGGAACCCCTTGCCAATTTATATGATTTATTGTTAATGTGATGTTATACTGTCATATATATATATATATATACCAGCTTCTTCAAAGTGACCTTTTTGGAGTGCCTAAGTGACCTTCACAGGCCCAAGTGAACTCAAACAGGGATATCAAAAGGTGACTTTGAAGAACCAGGTATATACTTATACATATATATATATATGTGTGTGTGTATACATGTGTTCCATAAAATTGGTGAACCAAGTTCAGAAGCATTTTCAATTTCTATCCAGGACCGCCTCGAACACATACCAAATGGAGACCACAAATCCTTCAAAACTCGCCCCACCACCACCGGAGCTGGACGGCTCCGTGCTGGACGGCTCCGTGCTGGACGGCTCCGTCCACGTGTCGACACAGGATTCAGGCTTCAAAATTGGCTCACTTCTTGAAGAGGCTCGAGTAATCCTCGGCTGATCGCAAAGGGAAGGGGTCGAGAACCCTGAGAGTCCAAGTTGGACTCAATTTACCCCTAGGGTAGTGGTGGATGATGACAATCAGGTGGAGCAAACTGGGGAACCTGGTCGACCTGATCCATGACCTGAATCACCTGATCCATTGTCCGTAGCCACGGACCAGGTGCCCAGGCCACGGACCAGGAGCCTCCAGCGGCGTGTCCGGATGTGTTAGGCTGTCAGGCTCCCAGCGGCATCCAAGCATCTTCCCTAGCCTTCAAAGACCCAAAGAATGGTTGACCTGGTGGTGTAGTGTAGACTCTTGACTACTAAGCCACCCCATATGAAGAGATGTTCAATTCAACTGGGGGGTTATTAGTAGTCTACACGAGAATTCCTTAGTAAAACAATGATGTTCTTTGGTAAAGACTCGTTTAAAAAAACAAGCATGAAAACAAGGGTTCCTCACTGGGTTCCTCGAATCCTAGGTCCTAGGTCCTAGGAGTCCTAGGCTGGTCTTGGGTCATAACCCTCTGATCACCATCCGCCGACTCGAGCGGGTCTTCGCCGAAGCCTCTGATGCATGGTAAGGCATGAAGAGCTCCCCGAAGCAGTTGGGCATCCTAAGGGGCGCCAACTGCTAGGCCACGGGGCGGAGGGGTAACAAAAACCAGGGGAGTTAGGGGGTTCTGAGATGGAGGATCTGGAGATGGTGCAATCATGGGAGTAAGTTCAATGAGAGGGGGTGTTTTGGGGATTGGCTTGAGGAACCGGGATTTAACACAAAGAAAAAACGAGCCACCTACAAGCAAAGCCAGGCGAATCATCTGAAAACTGCACTCCAAGCGTCTTCCGGAACTTCCACAGGTTCATGTCGCCCACCAACCTGCGACACCAACGCGCGGTGGTACGCGCAGCTCACCGCGGAGTGTTCCGGGCACCGCCCAAAGCAGTTCGATGAGAAATCCATGCATCGGGCACTTGGAATGGGAGCGCGGAGGTGCAAGAAACCCAGACGCTCCATGTATGCCATATATGCCTACATTGGGGTGGTTTGGGGGGTCAATGTAGGCCTATATGGCATACATGGAGTGTATGGGAAAGTAAAACATGACCAGAGACCCAATAAATAAGAACATCCTTGTGCCCGACACCTGCGCAAAGGTCGGGTCGGGCCCAACACCTTCGCAGGGTCCGGACCCGAACCAAACCCTTTCATACCCTTTCCATTGGCTCGGGCCCGGCAACTCAGGGAGAGTCAGAAATAAAAGGGGGGCCCAACGCTGACAAGTCCCTGTGTTTTGTTTCCCGGGTCAAGCTCAAAATGACCACGTTGAGCATCAAGGATGATCCGAAACCAAGACTAGGCCTCAAACCCTGTGATAATAAAGGGGGGCAACATGGGGCAACCAAAAGCAGTGCCCGATAGGAACCTGATCTAGAATCTAGATCATGTTTCACCCCTCTTTTCACCATCTTTCACCCACAAGACACCTTACAGCAAGAACGCCTGCCCTGCAGCAGATCTTGATTTGGACATGTTCCAGGAGCCCCGAACTTGTAGCGTCCGATCGCTCCGTTCGTCGTCGTCGTAAGGCCGCTCAAGCCCCGAACTCGTCGCGTTCGTTTGGCGGGTGCCCGGAGGTGCCGGAGGTCCCGAAGGCGAGGCACATGTCATGATACTTCATCATGTGCAACTGCCAAATGGACGCCCGCGAGGACATCGGGGGCATCCACAAGCGTTTCCTGAGCGTTTTCCCTCCAGGCCGGCGGAGAACGGTGGGTAAGGGGTTCGCGGTTTGGCTTGTGGAGGTGGTTGTTTGGGTTGAGGGATGTGACAGGTTGTTAGGTGTTAACACTTGAAACTGCACGTGGGGTCCCCGGCGCATGGGCCGTGACTTTGGTTCTGGGGGCGGGTAGGATTGGGTAAGGAAACACCACGGTCGTTGATGCCTCATATATGGAGGGGTCTGGGGTCTCAAATCCCTAGGTTATGAGGGACCAAGGGCTGTTTGGAGCGTCTGGGCAGGAGAGAATCAAAGGCTTTACGATCGCAATCTTTTTGGGACTCTGGATTTCAATCCTTTGGATTGATTTGTGTCTCTTCGGATTTCAATCATTTTGCGTAAAGACCAAAAAAGACGACGAATTCTGACAGGTGTCTTGATGCGAGCGCAAATGAGCAGTGTGTCCTTTCTTTGCAACGCAGCCGCTGCAAGTGTGTGCTGTTTGATGTTGCTCGGCTATGTGCACAGCTAGGGCACCGGGAACCCCAAAGCCGAACATAGTCCGAGGCGAATGGAAAAGGGACAGGCAGATTGGTGACCATGCCCTGAGGCAGGGCTCGTCACAGAATTGTCCAACTTAAATTAAAAAATATCCAAGCCATCTGCTGCTGAGTCTCCAAGCACGTTCCTTCTCAATGACCTTGTCCTTAATTGAGGCTCACGCCGGCAAAAGCCACTCAGGACTCAAACCGTACCGAACTGTGGGATGAGCAAAAGCGACTTGTTCAGCCATCTGCAGCCATTTTCAGCCAGCAGGCACTCGAGGAATCCAAGCCCAACAATGTGGGGGAATCGACCCATAATTGCGATGTGCGTCCCAACTGCTTTGTTGACCACAAGCGGATACAAGCGACATTTTCTGATTTGAAGGTCGGGAACATCGGGAGCGGGGATATCCTGGCACAGTGGAAATAGGACTGATTCAAGTCACACCTGGTGCTCTCAGGAAATTCGAGGACCAAAGCTCATGTTACTAGTTACAGTAGTCGAAATGCATCTAACTTCTTGGCTGGAGCGGCATCCACCACATGTTGCTCTCCTCTTTGATTGATGGGATGCTGTTGTCAGAAAAATCGCCCTGTTGTCTGCAGTTCGTGGTTCCCAACACAGAAATGAAATCCCATCGGTTCCAATACGACGAAAAACCGTCTGACACCATCTGAAAAGAGCTTCATATACCAGAATTGCTGTAAGGCCAAATCTACTTTTGGGAGCGAAAGCTCCTGGTTTCCTGCAGATATGACTCCCTTAAACGGGTCCATTGAATCATGTATATATTCATATTACTGAAATATACATTATAAATATATATATATATATTTATGTGTGTGTCATGTTCTTGCGTCTTCCATCTTCTCATTCGCGCTTTGGGCACGGAACCCAAACGAACCGAAGCGTCCATCGCTCCGGGCGCGGGCAAGTGGATCTCTCCCTTCAAGACCTTCGAGAGCCACAAGGCTTGGAGCCCTGGACCGTGGGTGGAAGCGCCGTGGGGGGGTCGGGAAGCGGGAGGTCGGGGTGAAAACCAAGAAAAAAAACACTCATGAACCGACTCCCACCCCCCTTTCATTGGTTCGAAACCAGGTTTTAAACCGAACTTTCCATCTCTTCATAACACTTGGTGGTGTCCCCAGCTCATCCACAAAAGGTTGAAGGGCATCCACTGACTGGGTAGGGAGCTGATCTCAGCTCATGTCCGATGACTTCGATTTCCGTCGGTCACTGAGTGGGTTCCTTGGTATTCCTGACGCAAACAGGAACACGTTCTGGGACATTGTGTAAAGCTGCATAGGGACGCATATGGTGGAAACATTCATACAATTATTATATATAATATATATATATATATATATGAATCAGCAAGCAGTGAAAACAATCGTAGGATATGTGGAGTCAATAACAATGATTGTGTTATATTGTGTTGCTCGGTTTGCTCTACTCACCCAGTCGGTTTTCTGCACTTCATTGTGCTTGGCTTTCGGAAGTGGCATCAAGTGATGTCAGAAGTTCGCCAGGGACATGTCGAGAATTGTTTAGGGTCACCCCTACATCAAAGCTATGTCATGCAAAAGAGCTGGGAAGGTGGACAGGGCAAGAATGGGCAAGCCTCCGCCATTGAAATTCATTGAAGCCTACGGGGACATGTTTAAAACACATCGAACGAGTCGATAGGATCTAAACCTCTTTACGATTCTTTACCTATAGCGCAGGATGGGGTGCCTTAACAAACACGTGCCATGTATAATCTAAACCCGGCTCATATATCAAGTCCCTTCAGAAACCACCAGAAATATATACTATATATATGTAGCCTTCTAACGGAAGCTCTTTTGATCTCTTTTGATCCTCTTTGCAGGTCTTCACCACTACTTGGCACCCCCACCATGAGTGAGGATGTTGTTGGAGGTACTCACCTCGCAGCCCACAAATGCCAAATCCGGCAGGCGCGGGGGAAGCATGTTCCTGAGCGGCATCAAGCGCGGGCCAGAACCGGAGCCCGCATGAAGTGGGGGCGACAGAAAAGGGGAGTGTCCAAACCCCCTAGGAGTGGAGGAAAGTGGATGGCACTGGGAGAGACGTTTCAAGAACATCATAAGTTTAAGATCTTTGAAGCACTGGCCCTGCCAGTGCCAAAGCCAGTACCCTTTCTGCATAAGCACCAAAAGGGCCACCGGCATAAGCACTGGCCCTGCCCGGTGGCCCTTTTGGTGAAGCCTTGTCAGAGCTCCTTCGAAGACGCTGGGAGACATAGGGGTATCATCTGCCCAGTCACGTTCATAGGTGTCGGGAGATCGCGCGTAGGTGTCGGGTGACACGGGTTCCGGGCCAAACAGGTCCTGTTTGGGACTGGGATATCAACAGGTACCAATCAGTTAAGTGGCTGATTTATAGCCATCCTGGAGTAGATATATAGAACAGGAGGAAATTTACAAAAAATAAACAGCAAAAAAAACACAAGACACGGGGTGACACGGGTCATCCTTTTTGGATTGGTTCGTATTCTATCCACTCCAGGATGGTTGTGATTTCAGGAGCCTTGCTGCGTCTCGTCCAGTCCCAGTCGTGCCTGGTTCTTTCCATACAAAGCCTAGTGACTGGGAGCGGACCCTTCAAACCCCCCCAAGACATAAAGACAAACACATCCACTGGTCCATTCTCCTTTTGTTAACTCTGACTATGAGAGTTGCTGAGAGTCCGGTAGAGGAACAAGCCATCCTTCTGAATGTTCAGCTTCTCCTCCACAGGGTCGTGCCGTTTTCCTGACTCCCTCAGTTTTCCTTGAAGAAAAAAGGTGAAAAAAGGTTCTCCATTGACAGGGTAGGAATCAGGGAAACCTCTGTCCAGCCCATTTTTTTGTTCCCCTCAGTTTTCCTCAGATTCACCAGATCCGCTAATCACTATGTAATCCAAATGTTTGAGAATCCTTGGTGGAAAAAACTCCCGGTCAACTGCCAGAGGTTTCAAGCCCATCAGCGTTACCAACGAGTCTTCTATCTGATCTGACAATGTCTTGAGTGTTCCATCTTGCTGCAAGACGGTGCAGCGTCCTGCAGGACCTTGTCGAAGATATCGTAGTTCCTGAGATGGAGATGAGTTCGCTGAACAAGATTTCAAAAACCAAAAAGAATATACCCACCCAATATATAGTCCCTCTTAGATTCTCTCGTCCCACTACAGACTAGAGAGGAAGGCTTTCTGAAAAACATATTCCACCTTCCCCAGCGCCCAAGCCACGCTGTGCTTCACCTGGCGCCACGCCGCACCACTCGTTCCGCCCAAGGCACTTGGCAAAGCCGGTGCCATAGATCACCAGGTCGGAGTGCAGCTGAGTGCCATTGGTCAACACCACACCCTCAGGTGTGAAGGAGTCGATGGCCCCCTGGATCACCTGGGTCCGCGGGAAGCATCGGCGACGTGTTGCAGCGATGCGCATCCGGAACTCCATGGGCATCGCTGCTGCGGCCAGACACCGTGGGGGTCGGGATCTGCGAAATGGAGACAGAAGGTCTCCAGGTATGTCTGGCTGAGAATATGCTACTACAACCTAAAATAAAGGAAGCCACCGAAAACGCAAGACTGCTAGAGTTTCACGAGCCAAGAAGTCTGCCTTCCTGGCCCGTGGAAACCCCATACTGCCCCGACACAGGGATTTCGTGCGGCTCGGAGGAGGTGAGCCAACGCACCGTGCAAATCCACCCCCATTTGGCACGCCGTGTGTCCGGATCTTGCTCATCGAAGCACCTTGATCTTCCCCTCCTGCACCATGTCGCGGAACTCATAGTTCAAGATCCTCAGCTGAACCCACTCACACTGGGAAGGAGGCATTCCTGTTCAACGCCATGAGTGATGGCACAGCAACCATGGCTCTTGGGGGTTCCACGTACTGTGTTCAACGCATCAAAGGCCCCAAACATCTCCAGAGGTCCTTCGATGCTTTCCCCAACCCTCCGACCTCCGACCTCCAACCTCACTACTCTGGGAGCTTCCCGTTCAGCGACACCATCCGGATCGGATCTTCCCGCCGCTTCCTCGACGCTCCTCGCTCGCCCTATGTGCGGCCCGAGAGTCTGGCCGCCGCTGAAGAGGTCGATGTCGATGCTGTCGGGTGGCACCATCTCGGACGGCAACTGGAATTGCCCGCGGAACCTCGACGCGTCAGGCGTCAGGAGGATGGAGTCCAGGCGGAGAAGCATGAGCAGATTTAAAAAGCTCGTTGCAGTCCAAATCCCATCAAAGCCTCCAAAACCAAGGACCTAATTGAGGATTGAGGGATCAACACTTTTCAAGGCCTTCGATGGCTGAAGGATCCGAGCAGGGTTGGGGACCGGGATGTGATTGGGGTTGGTTTCAACAAGCCTTCTCTGGGTGGGGACGCACCACCAACTCAATTACCACCCAAGCACAGGGTAGCTTGCTTGGAACGTGCAACTGACTGGTCCGACCTGATTTGCGGAGGGGTCACCCCCATGTCTTGGAGACTTGTGTACCCTTGATCTTTGCGAGGTTGCCCCAGCATGGTCTAGGCGAAATCAAGCAAGCTGGAGGTTCTGTCCCTTCTCCGAAGGAGAAATCTGGTGGTTTCCCAGCCTTTACACTGCCTTTAGTGGTTTCTATCGTTTTGGCAACAACGCCAGTGATCCACTTTTCCACTGGGATTCCATGCACCATTTAATTGGGAACACTGCTCTGCGACTTTCCTGGTTCTATATGTTGTTTGTGGGATTTCATGGTTGTTTGACATGAATTTTCTGGGTAAAGTTGGTAAGCTTAGGTTAATGCATGTTGATTTCCCAAGCGCCCGCTACAGTAAATCTTAGGGATTTCTAGTGGCTTTATAGGAGTGTTTTAGGTTTCTTAGGAGTTTGCGGTAGGAAGCCAGCGTTTTGCGAGATACACCGGCAAACTACATCCACACAAAAATCCATGGAGCATGTATCTCCAGGCAGGTGAACCGAACTCCGATGGCAGAACTGAGTCACGTGCCAAGGCTGTGGTCCTTCCAACCGTGCCAGTCATGTCTGCCCAACTGGGATGGTTTTAAACATGAAATGGCACGTCCAGTCCGCACAGTTGGGGGTTTTCCAGGTCTGTTGGGAGCCTCACGACTCCAGGTCTGTAGGTGATTCGAGTGCCGGGTGGATGGCGTCTCGCGGGTCACGCGAGCTGTTCTGGGACTGGCGGATGTCCGGCATCAATCTAGGCATCTAACCTATTCCATACATGGACATGATATACAATTATACATCCGTCATTCAACGATCCTGGAATACTTAGAATTCCTGTACTGTTAATTCCGCGGCCCTAAAGAATGGAAAGTACTTGGAATAACCTACCCAAACTGTACTTAATATCTTGGAATATATGTCAATTCTAAAGATGCTTCTTCGACACCAAGGCCCTAACATGTACTTACAATACTTCATAGCATCTTTAATTGTGCAGATGCTCCTAGGAAACCAGGAGCTGTAACATTAGCCTGTCAACTCCAAATAGCAAGCATCATATCTCAGGCTGAACGCCTAGAACAAAGTCGCCACGAGGATTGCCCTGCGACGCCCTTTTCAGGCCATCTTGACCCATGAAAACAACTACAAACTTTCTAACCCCTTAGGCACTTGTGCAGCAAGAATGGCAGTAAGAGATTCCTGCAAAGGCCCTGAAGATGTCAGGTCACATCTACCCGATTCCAAGTAATTATCTTTTGGTGACATTCCGGAAGGCGTTCTTATATTCCAAGTGTATGTTCGGACTTCAATTCCGGGTGCATGGCCACTAGCAAGAGGGGACCCATCCGTTTCACAGTACAGCGTTTTCTTTTTCCGTCCGAGGCGCATGAGCTCCACCACGCGCCACCAGATCCACTTCACTGGTGCACAAGTGCCGTGGAACCACTTGGCCACGGGCCCTCGAGAAGGACGCCGTTTCGGGTTCGACCAGGTATTGGACCTCGTTTCGGGGGCCCGGGGGTGGGGGTGGCACCCTTTTGAACTCTAGAGAGGTGAGCTCAAGGACCAGCATTTGACCTGCTAACTAGGCCCCAGGAACTGAACTGCAAGGCAATGAATCCATCTTCTCAATGAGGTAATATGATACGAGGTCTTGGAACCTGATACGAGGTCTGGGAACCTGACGGAGAACAGGGTTCAAACATGTTCAAAAACACATCCATGTCACCGTTCGATTCGATCAAACTGCTGACAGGCTTCTTCGGTGACCATCACTGGTGATACGTGGCTAATCTAAAACTTCCACACATCTACTCTTGACAGGTTTGATGATCGCCTATGAAAGAGGAGTCTGGGTACCCTAGTTCTGGGCGTCAAAGCGGGGGCTGCCCATCGCTAGAGTCAGTCATGGAGGAATCTGCGGCTGATTCCTTGGAAAAGGTTCCAGCACTGCACTGCCACAAAATCCACAAATCGATTGTTTGCTAGTGGGGGCCATGTACTATTCAAGATCCGACATCAAGCATCCAAAGTGTTGAGCCGCCGAGCTGAGGGCTCAGACCACTCAGTCCAGCACTGCGACTTCGCGAGCCCGGCCTTCTTCATGATGCGGGGTCAGCATCCAATGGCCAAAGCGAGAATAGGTGCCGTACTTGAATGGAACCTCAAGAAACCGGTCAAAGAGGTGTCCAAAAACAGGGTAGGCGCGCGCCTAAGGGGCTGTGCGTTTGTAATGTGTGTGTTTGTGTTTTTCTTGTTTAAGGTCTTGTTTTGTAGGAATTGTGCAAATTCCCACGTTTTGGATGTTTTTACACGGAGAGTGTTTTTGGGGAGGTGGCTAAAGTGCTGTAAGGGTTGTACGGAACCTTCGTTTCTGGAGGTTTCGCTACAGTTTCGAACAGTTTTGACTACATGAGTTTTCCGGTCCAAAAGTTTCGGACTGTTTTACGTTCTGTAGCGAATCGAAGCGAAAAGCGAAGTGACATGCGAAGAGAATGCAACACAACATGCGACGAAGCGAAGCGAAGCGAAGCGAAGCGAAGCCGCCAACAACTAGAACATGCCAAAGGTCCACGGACGTAGCATCAAGGAATCAAGTATGTTTACAAGACTTTGCAAGCACAAGTAACGTCAATAGAACCCCACCCCATCTATGATGTAGCATCAAGTATGTTTGCAGGTACAAGTGACGTCAAAGCCACAAAAGCTTTGAACACATATCCATAAACGCCCGGCCTCTTACAGGCACGGCTACCACAAACATGCAGGTCTATTCCATTACCAGTAACAGTGATGATGATGGTTCAGGCCTTGTTCTAAACTGTTCTTGCTTACTGACGGCCCTACAGGTAAGACAAACCGGTCAAACATGCACAACATCATTTCACTTCGCAGGATATCCCAAAGCACCAACAAACAATCCGCATGTCGTGGAGTTGTCGGGCCCCAACTTGGGTTTTTGGAGCCGGGTCCAGCCATGTTTCACACAACCCAGTCGTTGCTACGCATCGTGTTTGTTGCGTTCGCACTGACCGACTGACCGGTGCTTAGTTCATGAAATTTCACCAAACTATTTCGAGTTCTCCAAAACCATCCTAGAACCTGAATGACCTCTATTTTGGATCACCAACCACGAAAAATATGGTCTTTTCCTATCAAAACAAAGGTCAAATGGGCTCTAGGATGATACAACATGCATCAACACATCTTCGTTGGACACAGTACGGCGTCTACAGGACCTTCCCACTGAAATCATCAGAGCTATCATGACTGCAACTATCAGAGCTATCATGGCTGCCATTCTCAAAAACGGCTAACAATGGTGACTGTCATGACAATTGCATACAATTGCCTTCTCAACTTGCACCCAATTGAGACATTCCAATATGAACAACTCTTTGGATAGAATTTCAGGCCCTCTGTATAGTCTTTTGAATGGTTTTCCTCACTTGCCCTCCATGTCCACAAACACTCCGCAACAAAATTACTCAGAAGCTATGCCCCCTGTCTATTCGCTGGGCACCGTCACAGGCAAGTCCTGACCCGCCTGCCACCCCACTGACATGTCAAGCTATGTCCACCCTTCCCCGCTGGAGAAGAAGGGTCGACCGTTCGTTCGACCCGTTCGGATCTGTACGGGTCGACCCGTTCGGACCGCCCCGGGCGAGCGAGGCGCTGCATTCAGCAGCAAGCGCGGCACGGGCCAATGAAACTGCCGGCACACCAGTGTGCTTGAGATGCCTGGTTCGAGCTCAAGCCGAAGGTGGGTGAAGTGGCATGGTTAAACTATATGCTATACTTATAGCTATACTATGGCGGAGATTCAACGTCAAAAAGATTCAACGTCAAAAGGATTAATCTTTGCCATAAGCAGCCGACCTACAAATTTAAAGAGGGATTTGCTAGACTCGTTTAACTAATCACTTCATGAGAAATCAGCAGTTCATGTACAAATAAGCCTCTGCAACGGATCCTTATATATTAACTCAGCGGTTAGTTGGCCGAAGGCTGATTGCAAATCCAACAAAACCTTTCAGTCTAGTCTTGACATGTCTTGACAGTCTTTGCCCCTTGTTCTCCATAAACTGCTTGAGACTTTTGAGGCAAGACTCGTGTCAACATTTCAACTTGGTGGAACGTGCGGCCGACAATGTTGGTCGGCCGATTTAGGGGGGAGTACATGATGAACTCAGGAAGCAAACGGCCCGAGTTCATCGCCAGTGAAATCTCGAACACCGAGCAGCCTTCCTTTGCAGCAGCCACTGCATTGTCGATGGCCGATTTGCCTGAGCTTTGTGGGAAATGGGGTGTGATTGCATTCCCCAACATCCCAAGCCGCTGCTTAATGCATTCAATGCATTCAATTCTGATCTACAAAGTGAATCCAAATTGACAAGCTGGTCTCCTGGGCCGGGGGACATTCCTTCTGGCCCAAAAAGAGTTATGGCACTTAACTTAACACATCTTAGCACATATAATTTATGTAGCCGGTTTATGCGCACTTGTTGCCGTACACGCCACTTACATTGATAATACATCATGATTCTATCTGCATGTTGTGGGGGCGAACATCTACCACTCAACAAACAACATGGAAAGAAGAATGCTATCTCCAGGGCCACCTACACCCCGGTATACGAACACCAACAGTCCAATCCTGCTTCAAATTGTATGTGCAACGGGACATTGGCCATTGGATGTCACCTTGTGACGGTGCAGCATCTTCCTGAATCAGGGGCTATAATTAATACACATATGAAGCTTTCCAAAGGGTTTTGCAGTTCAGGGGGGCAGAACTGAAACCTTGCTGGTGATTGACACCATCGCCCCCAAAATGAGTCAATCAATTAATTATAATAGCCATTCCCAGGATGGATGCATCCCACACAAAGGCACTATAGGCCAATGAGTAGGCCAATGGTTATAACCTTTGGCATCCCTTGGATGAAACATGAAAAACAACGTCTGCAACGGCCCAAACACCAAGCCGTGTGCAGCGACGTTTGTTCCCCGTCTCCCTGTCTCACCCCACTCGACATCAGTGGGCCCTAAACACTCGGACTGGCACATTCGCCTACAGCATGAGCCGGTTGAAACGGGGTCAATACATACCCAAACGCTCCCTGGGACTGCCATATATGCCGATCAATTGGGGTGGTTTGGGGGGTCAATGTAGGCATATATTCCAAACATGGAGTGTTTGGGATAGACTCAAGCGAGGACGTCATCTCCGCCATGGCACCTCCTCCGACGACGATGACCTTCTTGCCTTCTGCCATCTTCCGATCTGTAAACGTACAAGAATGCAAGATCTGACCTGACTCTGGCATGAACTCCTCGGCAAACCATCTCTAGCCCATTGAAAACGCTAATTGTTAGACCAATGCCCCACCTCACCTCCAGGACATCTCAGGTAACACAACCACTCAAATAGACTCTGGACATGGACGGTGCAAGGTGTAATTTCTGTGGCTGACAAGCTATTCCAACACCCCTCCTCCATGCAAGAAAGAATTATGTTCAACCAACTTTACAGTGGTTCCTCCTGCCTTTTTGTCTTTGTGTTTCATATGTCTCCCTCTCTTGAATTTACTTGGAGAATGCTATTCCAATTCCATCTTCCGAGCATTATTGTTATCAATCGATCGGCAAGGGTTTCGGACAAGAACATGTCCTTTGGTGCGGAGTGTGCTAACGCTACCTGATTGGTTTGAAGCTCGTGTTGTTGTTTTTGCAGTCCAAATGCATTTGATGATGTTTCTACATGTTTTTAGATCAGTTTAAACATGTTTCCACGACTTGGTCTCGTTTTCACGCTTGGGGCAGGTGACTGACATGGATTCGCTTGGCTATGGGCTATGGGCCAGGGTCCCTGGCCCGTTTTCGGGAGTCGAAGCGCCGCAGAGTATCGAAGATGTGGTTTGTGGAGTCCATCTGGGCTGAGGTGATCGTTCAGTTTCCCTCAGAATCGATGACCATACCCAGACCATCCCTGTCCGGAATAGTTTATGTTTCATGTTCATGGCCCAAAAAAAACGATCATGCAACATCTTTCCAGTCCCATGGATGGTCTGGAATCAATGCCACACCTAATTATCGCCACCCGACCGCGCCTTTGAACGCTCTAGAGTTGCGGGCCACCGGAAGATGTGGAGGCCAACCATACCTTGGAGAGAGTTTTTGGTCAGAAAAACTTCAAGGTTTTGAGGGTTGAGCACCCCACCCAGTGCAAAAGAGGTTCTAAGAATGAATTTGGCTGGGTGGGATCCTTATATCAACACTTGAGACTCTTTGCTGTGAAACACGGTTTAATCTAATACCCAAATTAGGTGCATAATGAAACACTGGCCCAACGTCAACGCAAAGGAACATGCCAGTTTTAGCCACCCAGCTGATCGGCTAAGAATAATAAACAACAAGAAGAAGAACAAAACTACACAAAAGCTAGAACGAAAACAAC